TGTTCGGAATAATCCAATTTACATACAATTTCACCAGCCTTCAAGCACTGAAGTTTAATCTTTTAAATCTACCATGCAAACATATCTGACGACCTCTGGTCATTTATATTATTATAGAATTGTTTTTGCTATAGTATTTATATAACTTTAATTATGGATATTTTATGGATTTGGAGATTGTACCACACGTCACCAAATCTATCGTTTTATATTAATTTACCTTAAAAAACAGACATCTTCTTATCGGATTAGTCCTCTTAAACAAATGACTTTTATCGAAACACAAATATTCTGCAACGTCGTGCTTCATTTATGAATTCATTTTTTTTTAAATAACTTTTGATCTAGAACAATCCCATGTTGGTTTATACAACATTTAGGAAAATTCTGCCCTTATAAGTTCGTATTTATTTGTTAAAGGCCTGGCGATAGTGTGTTCATCTATTAAGAATATTACATGTAACTGTAAAAGTTTCAACTGAAAACGGTTAGTTTTTATCATTTGTCACATTCTATATATTCTTGTTTGAAATTTTAATAAGTGAACGTTAAAAATTAACTTATGAATACTGTAAATAAGCAACGATTTGTCAGATAAGTAATGCTATTACATGTAAACTAATGAGTGGCCCTTCTTCCTACATGTAGTCAAATTCGACCTTTGCTTATGACAACTTTCCAAAGCCTTTTAAATCTTCCATTTATAAATAATGTCAATGTCATATACTATGTGATAATGGACAAAAATATTGGCATAACTCAGTCTATAAAGTTTTTTCAACGTTCATCTGGATCTTAACCAAGCAAATAATAGACCAAAGTATTACAAATGTTCGTTCTTTTGTTGTGATTTTCATACATGTGGTATACGGTTTTTCTTCATGTTTACCTCCTTTTCCAGTATGCCTGATTTAAACATTTCTGCTATTTGGTCGGGTTGTTGTCTCTTTGACACATTCCCCATTTCCATTCTCAATTTTATAGATACATTTCATGTTATGACTAACGACACTTTATGTTTTTCATTATTTCATTTATATCATTTATTTTTGTCTTTATTGTTTTCATTATTAAAACATTGTTTGATATTTGGTTTTTGATATTTTCGATATTCAATGTTTTAGGATAAAAACAAGATCCAGCATCAGCTTCCCTCATGATTACCCTAAGTTTGATATTTATTTGGACAGTCATTTAAATGACTTCATATTATGGTTAGCCGCTTGCCATTGATAAGATGTAACGTCGGTGCGCTTTTGGGGTCTGTCAGACACCCATCTACTGTTTTCCTTATGGACGACCGTAATCGTATTTGGCACAACGTTTTGCAAATTTTGTTTTGTACTTGATTTGGCCTTCTAACTATTTTGTTTCGACATTAATTGACTTAGAAATTAGTATGCACTGTCTGAAAGAGGTTGCATCTGCTGACTTATTTCCCCCAAAAGAAAGCCAATTGGACGGAATTCGACGATTAAAGAATGAGAATATTTTAGATGCATTTTTATTCACCTACATGTAACACTTATTAATATATTTAAACTTATATGAAATATAATACCGTAACAGTTTTTGTATACTTTCAGAATGAGGTTATTTTTAGCTACGTTCTTGTTAGTATTAACCTTTGTAGATGCCGTACCAGTGAAGAAGTGAAGTTTTGATGGGTTAGTTTATATACATATACATGAATGAGCTTTTTTAAATGTTTGTTTTTATTGGTACGTCTATTTTTTCGAAGAAATATCGTTATCTCGATTAATTATATCGTTATCTCGATTACTTATATTGTTATATAATAAATCGAGATACCGATATATTTGTTTCTTCTTCTCTGTCCCTTGCAAGGCTCCGTTAGCCTTTTGATGTTTTTTTATTATTTATATTTTAAAGTTCTTCATTTGAAAATTCTCTTTGAATTTAACTGCCAAAATGACAATAAAAGTTCCCTTTCGTGAATGTATTGTAAAGTTTCTCATATTTAAATATAATATTTCTGTCTCGGTTACAATCCAACCATATATTTTTTTCCGGATACTGTAACAGTGTAAATCAAAGAAATATGAACTGAAAGGTTTACTTGGATATACTAATACCTGTATAGTCATCCTTGAATTATCCAATCAACCAATGAAACACATGATAAAGACAGGTGGTCGGTTAGTTGTGCGGGATATGTAAATTTGCATCCACGTCCAGTAATTTGATACCTCGTCACTCTGTCTGCACGTTGAAGAAATGATGCAAAATTTCTTTTTCCGCTTGACATAAATATAAATTATGTTTGTAGAACCTATTTTTTAGATTCATTGTTTATTTGTTTGCACCAGAACATTAAATAAACAACAGTTTATCGATCAATCAAAGCATTTGCAGTGTGTGCAAATTTTATTTTATATTATGAGTGAGTGCAATGGAGATTTAACATTAAAAACACAGAATAAATGATATTCGAAATAAAAGTGTGTTTTGTGTTTGTTGAGATATCAAGACACTACAATAAACCCGCTACATATTTATGTACCCGTCCCAAGTCAGACATCTCGTATGAGATTTTGTTTTGTCATATTTTAAGGACTTTGTTATTTGCAGATTTTTGTGTAGTTGACCAATTGTTTCAATTTAATTTCACAACTGTTATAGACTAGTAACTGTTTAGAGTATGGCGTATTGTATAGACTTCTCTTTATTTTGAGGACTGTATGCTGCCCTCGATTATTTTCTAAATGTTCTTTGACTATTTTGTCTTTTATTGCTGTCTAATTGACGTATATCACACCGCCTTTCAAAATTTAGATAATTTTTAGGATACAGATTTTTAGTATGGTGCTCCAAAAGCACACTAACGATTATAGAAAATGAGAGTTGTGCACCAAAAGCACACCAATGTTTATTTAAATGAATGTGGTTCTCCAAAAGCACACTAATGTTAATCTAAATGAGAGTGGTGCTCCAAAAGCACACCAATATTAATTGTAGATGAGAATGGTGCTCCAAAAGCACACCTAATGTTTATTGTAAATGAGAGTGAGACTGAACAGTTAGCAACAGTTTGTACATAAGTTAGAATTCGAGTAAAAGGTTGAAACATCTTTTGAGTACAGATTAAAATTGTACTTTTAATTCTAGGGTTCAAGTATTAAGAATTCGAATGAAACCTCGAGAAACAGTTAAGAGTTAGAATCAGCGAGTTGCAATTCAAGTTAAAAAGTTTGATTTGACATTTAAATAACATGCATACAGGAATTAATTTTGTTATGGATAAATTGGGACAAGATGCTTTTTTTTCAACGTGATAACCATCTCTTTATACGCATGCAAATACTTAATTTTGTTATAATGCTTTCAGAAATATTCATACTTTCTGCTGATCATATTTTTGATAATCCATTTGTATTAATTTTGTATTAGCAATCAAGCATTCCGTATGTTTCTGAAAAGTCATGAAGAAGTAAAGAAAATATCATATCTCGCCAAAAAGTATGATGTAAGTAATTATTTTGTTTCTACTTTAAACGAAAGATTCACAATTACAATGTTCATAAAACAACACATAGATCTGCATAAAAACGATACAGTACACATATAAAAAATAAAATTCACACATAAAAAGTTGACAACACCAAAAGTAAGTGCAATTCATTAGAAAAGCTTCTATTTGATAAATCCTATCTTAATTATAATCTCCTTTGTAATCATTATAAATATAAGAAGATGTCGTATTTATTATAAATGAGACAATTATCCACAAGAAACCAAGCAACTATAGCCATCGTACAGCCTTCAACAATGAGCAAAAACCATACCGTATTGTAAGCTGTAAAAAGGCCCCGACATGACAAAATGTAAAACAATTTAAACAAGAAAACCTACGGCCTTTTTTATGTACAAAAACATACTTCTGCATTGTCATCGTGTTAATATTTTCCAGGCAGACATTTGGAGGTTTCCGAGATCAGCCAATAGCAACATGGACATACATGTGGAGGCAAAACATTTAGAACAATATTCATCTGACTTGGAGTCAATAGGAACTGATTACACAAAATGGATCGATGATGTTCAAAATTGAGTGCCTATAAAGTGTCTGGATTGGTGACTACATTATCCTATCCTTTAAATTTGTAGGCTATTTTTCTATATTCGTTATTCTTGGCCCATTATTCTCAGTCTATTCTTTACATTATTGTCTATTTTTATCTATCCCCCCCCCCCCCCGTTACTATCTAATCTGTAAACCAAATCCAAACCCTCATACATGCATACATACATATATATGATGATATATTTAAAAGTGGTAAGACATTAATATCATATGGGCCTGTAAGGATGGTCTGTATAAGAAGTTTGTGTGCGAAATATGTCTACTTGAACTTTTCAGATTTCTCGACATGAACAGTTTTCTATAGACCTTTCTTAGTTGTAAAAAGTCATTTTGACTGGATTTTGTGTATCTGTCCATGAATATATTTTCCAGCAATGTTACGTCATGCCACTTGTCACTTGTGATACGACACCAATCTACGTTAAAAGCACATGAAAGCTTAAATTTGAATCTAATAAGAGGGGAAAAAAGGTTATTAGTTATTGAAGTATTTTCTCTCTATCGAGAAATCAACACATTTTGCTGATGTAATTTTAGGCTAATTGAAAGCGATAATGTAACGCATATTTATAGCCCTTTGGTAAATTGATTTTCGAAAGCTTTTAAAAAAAACAAATTGATACCAGTAACAATTTCCTTCTTGCAAATAGTACTGGTTCGCTAACCCCTTCCCCCCAAGTAAACATCATTATTGACATAGTGATAACAATTAAAGATTTAATGTTTTTAACCAGTATACGAGGGTCAGCAGCTCTTAAATTCTGCACTAGAAACATCTGATAAAAGTATCAATATAAAAAGAACATTTTAAAAAGTTTGAGTGTTTTTTTAATTGAAACTTATATTACAATACGTAGTTGTTTAAGATTCTACATTAAAATTGCCATTCTAATACATGCATATTATGTGTTTACAGATTTCAAAATATTTACATGAGGTAGCTGCAGTTTCGAATCGTGCACAATTACACACGGCTGGTAAATCTTATGAAAATAAAACGATAGAATATCTCAAGGTACTAGGTATAATATAATATAATATAAAATATATATAAATGTAACATTACAATTATTTAAAAATATTCGTAATACACATGGTAAAACTGACTTTTTCGAAAGTGCCACAGACTTGTAAGGAATATGGAGATACATGTACTATGTATGAATAAAAGGAAATGCAGGTTAAACGTCAATGAGATAATAAACTCCAACGACAAAAAAAAACAAACCAAAAGACATCCAGTGAGGTGTTCAAATACATGCACATTGGGCTGTTTGGTCGAGTTGTTGTCTCTTTGACACATTCTCCGTTTCCATTATCTATTCTACAATTATTATATCAAGCTTATTTCGAAAAATCACAATACGATCTTTCTATAAACAATTAGCGATTCACGACCATATATCAGACTAAGTGCAAGAGCTTTCATATAAAATGTATTGTTAAGTTAAGTTAGTGTGCTCGATAACTCTTGACTTTCTATTAATACATCCCGTACAGCCGAACGGTCCTCTTTAGCATGCATTGTTGTAAGGGTACACGACTAAGTTCAGTACATCTTAAAGAATAATAGCTTGTAGTGTAAATTACTCACATGTACTGTAAACCAACTTATTTTCGCGGATACTTTAATTCGCGTTTATCTCTTTCTAGCCCACTTCGCGGCGATTTAATTTCGCGATTTTTAGATTTTCTTGTTGTAGTTAGACAAGGAAAGATCCTAGTTTTAAATTTTCGAGACGATTTATATACGCGTTATTTTTCTACTCGCGAAAGTCGCGAAATTAAATTGCTCGCGAAAATTAGTTGGTTTACAGTAACACTTTGATGACTGTTATGCTACTTTTTTAGTTGTAAATGCTAGATTCATTGATACATGTTTGATACACACACATTTCAACATTCCTTGTTAAAATTCACATAGAAAATTATTATTGATAGTTGTAGAATAGTGCAATTAATCATCTTTTTAATGTACACATGGGTGTCATATGTACAGGAAGATATTAGATAATTTGTTTTCATTTTGGAAGAGTACTAGGATAACGCACGTCAGCACTGGAAAGAAGGAAGAAAATACAGTTATGACACAGATTTACATAATAGGAAAACATCCAGACTAAGATGCCATTACTTGTATCTACTATGAATTTTTTTTTAAATTACTTAATGCATACAAACTAGACAAAAAATCAGCCGTAGTCACAAATATTCACATAATGTACTGGATCTGATACCTTGTCTTGGCATCTTCAAATAAATAAAATGATTGCTTCTTCATGCTATTATTTGAATGTACTGTTTGAAAATATTAACAGATTAGCACTGGCGGATCAAAGAAAGCTATCTTTATAAATGGTGGATTACATGCAAGAGAATGGATATCACCAGCAGTTGTTCTATACTTGATTAATCAGGTATGTGGTACTAAAGTCACGTCGTCCTTTTAATTAGATTTATTCATTAATAAAGCTGGGAAACAACTTTACTAGTAATGCCTCTTCTGTTAAATGAATCTAAGTGTGGCCCACTTTACGTATTGTATATGACACTTTTTTAAATGTGTGAAGAATGCTTCTTTTTCTTGAAAATGTTATTAACTTATGTCCCAGTTCCAGCTAATAGTATTAAGACGGTCATTGCAAATTGTGGTAATGTGGCGTAATAAATCTAACTTCTAATATTATCCGAAAACTTGAATCTGTGACGTTGTTTTTAACACGTTTAGAAATCTGTAACAAGGATTAAACGAAAACTTTAAAATACTAGTTAACTTCATTGTATATTTACAATTATAGGAGAAAATAATCATTACATGTACATCTATTATTGCTTTTGGCCTTTGAACTACCTTAAGGCATTTCAGGGGAAACATTATTCCTTTTCATGGGCATAAATTGTACTAATTGTAACAATGTCGTCCAAGTTCTCTTTGGAATACATTTTCAACATAATAGCTAGAATTAGCGGCAGATTAAGAAGTTATCTTTAAAAAAAGCTTCTCGAAAATAATGGCCACATCATAGAACTACAAGTCATTTGTGGCTCTAAAATACAAGGAGATATAGTTCCTCAAACGAAATAACTTTAGTCCATGCTTTTGACAAATGTTGTCTGAATCAAATCCTATAACAAAATTAGATGAACATCAGTTAAATATTACATTTGTATCTTCATTGAGTTCATTAAGAAATCACTACAGTGTTCATTATCTGAAATAAGGTCAACATTTTGGTTAGCTTTAGTACACGAGATTTTCTTCTTATAACAGCTACTTATAAAATTCTTATATATTTTGTTATTCACCATTTTTTTTAGCTAGCTTTGAACCCGAGCAACAATCCAGTTATAGACAGTATTTTAGAGAAACTTGACTGGTACTTTCTACCAGTAGTGAACCCAGACGTCTATGAATATTCGAGTACAACCGTACGTAACATTTCCATGAAACAACCCCTGGAATATGAATCAACACTTGAAACCAATGACTCTATGAACAAAGTGAAGATGTGAATATACAAATAAGGAGATGTGGTATGATTGCCAACGAGACAACTATCCACCAAAGTTAAAATGAAGTGGATGTAAGCATTTATAGGCATCCCTACGGCCTTCAACAATGAGAAAAACCCATACCGTATAGTCGTCTATAAAAGGCCCCGACATGAAAAATATGAAACAATTCGATTGAGAAAACTAACGGCCTAATTCATAACAAAGCAATTTACGAAAAACAAATATGACAGACATGAACCAACGACAACCACTGACCTACAGGCTCCTGACTTGGGACAGGCACTTAAAGAATGTGTCGGGCCTAAACATGTTTGTGAGCGCTCAACCCTCCCCCTAACCTGGGACAGTGGTGTAACAGCACAACATAAGTACAAACTATAAAAATCTTGAAAAGGCTAAACTCATCAGATCGATACAAAGAAAAACATCAAACAAAAACACATACAGGACGTGGCAGGGTATATATCTATCCAGTCTATTTTATTAAACAGCAACTTAACTACAAATTTAAAGAACTATACAGCTAGGTTTATTTATCTGCAATAAAACACAAACATCGCTGCATGATGTAAAGCTCTAAATTGTTCAGGACACAGAAAAGTGTTGAATAAATCAACAGGGACTATTAATGATCTTTATTTACACTAAATAACATGAAGGACAAAAACATTAAGATATCCGAGATTGTTTTGACTTGGACAGTCACATGAACATGTGCCATGCTTGACCAATTTATTAGCAGTCAGATTAATCGAAATGTCATTGTATTAAAAAAAGAATTTTATGTTTGTCAAGTTAATGTGCTAATGTCGTATGAGGAATAGATATATAACATATTCAATGAATTAAACTGACTTAACATCACGTAGTTTATCTTCTAGTCACTCTGGAATTTTAAAACTTCAGAAACCCGAGTTTGGTCGCTTGAAATGATTTCAAGTTGACAAAATAAGATCAAAACATTCAGTGTAATAATCCCCCTAACTTCACAAATAAGTAAGCGTAATATACCTGTTGAAGGTAATGCATGCTTAAACTGTGTTACGCAAAACAAACTGTTTTCATCTAGAAAGAACCTCATTGTGAATTCGACTAGAAATAAAAGGAGATATTACACATTTTAAGAAAATGGCAGGGTATATTGAGCCCGTGATATTATTCTGTCTGCCCTTATTTTTGAAGTTTGTGCTTGCTTACTTAAGGTCATTTAGAAATTTGACATTATTCCAAACAATCTAGATGCAACTCTATGGCTATACAACAATAGTCGTAAAGATTTTGTTATATTTTAGGATAGGCTGTGGAGAAAGAACAGACAACCACCTCCATCTGGTTCTTGCATTGGTGTAGATTTAAACAGAAATTTTGGATTTAATTGGAATCCAGGTTTGAAATCAATTGGCATTTGATTTAATTATTTTGGAATTCATTAATGACCAGTCGTCATGTTAGCCTATACGCCTTAATTGAGTAATTTTTCAAAATAGTGACTCGTCATTTCGTAAAGCAATCTAAAAATGCGGATGTATGATAATGGCCGTTTGTACTTTAAAAATCTACCTTCAGCTTAGAAAAAAGAAATATACAACAATCAGTTTATTTGAAGAAGAAAAAATAACAAATACACTTAACAAAAGAGTGAGCATAAAAAATGAAAACAACACTTTATAAATTTCATCTGTCCGAAGCTCTTCTATGGATTAACCTTCATCAGGAAGCCGAATATCTGAATTTGACCCCTAAAGGTTAAAAAAAACCATAAAAAAGGACAACAGGAGTTATAAAACAATCCAACCTCCTCCGAATAAAATAGCTGTGTAAACAAAGACAAAATCAAAGAACAGCGTATGGTCTAAATAGAGTAACCTATCACAGGCAAAACCTGTTTTAGGTTAAGCCAATGTACAAAAAAACTGCTCCATTGTTCATCTAGAAAATATGTAACACACAATAAAAACTTTAACAAAGAAATAGAAGACGGCACATAAGTTTGAAGGCAGAGTCAAATGTACATGTGGTTGCTGTTACCGTAAGCTAACTTAGTCAGCCACAACTTTCTGCCCCTCAGGTAAAAAATAATCAGAAACCACACTCCTTTCTGGTGTAATATATACTAATGATAACAGGAATTACCGAAATTATTGGACAGTACAACCGACTACACGAAAAAAACATTTGACTCCTCCAAGAAAATGTACATACAGATAAAGAGAAACAGCAACAACTGACACAGGATTGAGTTGGGATTTACCAGATGTTTGTGCACACAAAAATTAAAAAAACAAACATGTAAAAAGTAATATAAACATAAAAAAAACCATGCCAAAAGTAATATAAACATTTAAAAACATGTAAAATGTAATACAAACATAAAAAAAACATGTAAAAAGTGATTCAAACATAAAACAAACATGCAAAAAGTAATACAAACATAAAAAGCCTATATAGTTCAACTATCGACAGGGTATCCAGTTATTAAAACCCATTTGACATGTGCTTTAGTTCTGTTAAAAGTAACATTCAGCAGCATATTGCATCTCGGATGTATATGAGTGTTGTAAGCAACCTATAATAAATTGTTCATGCTTTTTTTTTTTAACTTAGAAGCGGTACAAAGGTCGCTTAAAAAATGGCGTTGAAAGATATGTTTTAAAACACAAATTACATAATTACGGTTAATTATACGAAAAACCTATTAGACAATTACATATTGTAGTATATCCATAATCCTTTTTAAGCGATTGGTGGAAGTACTTATCCATGTTCGGAAATGTATGCAGGCACCAAAGCATTAACTGCACCGGAATCAGCAGCTGTTGGAAAACTCATGCGTGATATTCATTGCCACACAATTGCATACCTCGACATACACGCTTATGGACAAATGTGGTTATGGCCATGGGGATATACGGCTAATGTTTTGCCATCTGATCTCGAAGACTTGGTCAGTATGAAAACAACATATTAAATAGTAAAGTAACACCAGTTTACATGATGTTCCAAATTGGCAAATTTTATATCTCTAACTACTCAACATTGAATATTATACGAAGAAAACAAATCCATTTTTAGTTATTGCTATATAAACGGGAGTACATTGATTAATGCAATTATCTGATATTTTTCTGTCAACTTGAATTCTTATAAGTATTTATGAAAACAAGGATAGGCTTTATTGGCTGACTGTAATATTTAAAACACTTTATGTCCCAGCTTTAATTATCAAACTTAAGTGAACGCAGTTCATAACAGGAGAGTCAAACCAACAAACTGTCTGGTAATACTTAGATATTAAATATCCTTGCATTAATTTGTATATTATTATGTATTTTCAAACAGAAACACTATGCGAAAGTAGGAGCAAATGCAATCAGCAAGAAATATAATACTAAATTCATAATTGGTGGAGATGCTACAGATTTATGTAAGTTCATATGTTCCCATATTTTTAACAAATTAATTCTGTATTTTTGTACTGGAAAAGACCCTTAAGGATAGCATCCATATATGGTCACAAACAGTAATAAATTGGGAAAAACTTAATGACTAAATAAAATAATTTGTTGAGTCACGTGTAACGCCAGTCAGTTCACAACCTAGCTATTATAGGAATCTATTAAGCTTTTTAACGAGATTTAATTTGCCAAGACTGAATTTGTTGAGAACTATATTGCATTTGTTTTCTGTTACTCAGCATTTTACCATCATGTTACCCTGCATTTGACAATGCTGTTTGTCTGCATTTTATCATCCTATTACTACATGTATGTATTTTACCATCCTGTTACTCTACATTTTACCTTCCTGTTACTCTGCATCTCACCTTCCTATTACTCTGCATCTTACCTTCCTGTTACTCTGCATTTTACATTGCTGTTACTCTGCATCTTACCTTCATGTTACTCTGCATTTTACATTGCTGTTACTCTGCTTTTTAACATTGCTGTTAATCTGCGTTTTACCAGCCTGTTATTCTGCATTTTACATTGATGTTTCTCTGCATTTTACCATCCTGTTACTCTGCATCTTATCTCCCTGTTACTCTGCAATTGATCTTCTTGTTTCTTTGCATTTTACCATCCTGTTACCCTTCATTTTACATTGCTGTTACTCTGCATCTTATTATCCTGTTACTCTGCATTTTACCAGCAAATTACTCTGCATTTTACAATCAAATTACTCTGCATTTTATCTTCCTGTTACTCTGCATCTTACCTTCCTGTTACTCTGCACTCTACATTGCTGTTACTCTGCATTTTACCTTCCTTTTACTCTTCATTTTACCTTCGTGTTACTCTGCCTTTTACATTGCTTTTACCTTCCTGTTACTCTGCATCTTATCTTCCTGTTACTCTGCGTTTTAAATTCCTGTAACTCTGCATTTCACCTTCTTGTTACTCTGCGTTTTACCTTGTTGTTACTCTCTTTGCATTGTACCTTCCTGCTACCCTTTTTTTACCTTCCTGTTACTCTGCATTTTACCTTCATGTGACCCAGCATTTACCTTCCTGTAACTCTGCATATTCGCTTCCTGTTACCCTGCTTTTACCTTCCTGTTACCCTGCATTTTACCTTACTATCACCCTGCATTTTACCTAAATGTCACTGTTGATATTACCTTTCTTTTGTTCTTCATTTTACCATCCTGTTACTCTGAAACTGCTTTTCACAATTACTGTTATTTTTTATTGACATACACATCCATATTCCAAATGGACGACCAAACACTAAGCATTAACATTATATCAACAGGAAAAGTACACAAATACGCGAAAAGAACTTTTTCAATTAGAAAAATGACAAATGTTTTGAGGGTCAAAACAGTTTGCCTTTACAGTTTAATTTAATATTTTCACTGAATTATTCAACAAAATTTCGAAAAAAATTAATAACGCCTAAATACAAAAATGAATATATTTCTGATCGTCGAATAATGCATATGCAGAACGTTAAATACTATGAGAACACTTCAATGTTTTAACATGTACTTTCCTTTTTCCTCTCTCTTTAGAAACTTTACTTTCATTAAAGAAAATCATTTTATAAACGATATTCAACATCGTGCTTGTAAAAATTTTAGTTTATTATATGAAAATCAAACTTTACTATCGTTTTTTTTTTGTTCTGTAGAAAGCATCATTTGACTTACAGAGGTTCTTTTTGGACAATACCCGGGGTTTTTTCCCCACAAAATAAAGAAGTGTTATAAGTATTGTTCCTGTTACACTAATTTTACAATAATGTATTGTTAGATCCAGCTGCTGGAGGTGTAGACGACTATGCAAAAGGCGTGGCTGGTATACAGTATTCCTATACTGTAGAATTAAGAGACGAAGGCAATTACGGATTTGAGCTTCCTGTCAATCAAATAGTGCCCACTGGAGAAGTGATGTTAGAAGGCATACTGGCATTTGCTAAGGAATTATTTGTCCGAGAGGGCCTATAAATTGTCAACATGTAAAGTTTTTAAATATAGTTCTACTACTTTATTTTGGTTTTATTTATACTAACTTCTGCCTTTTTGAGATTACAAAAAAAAAAGGAGAATACAACTTTGTTGTAAACACAAGTCGTAGAAGGTCAGCCAATTCATTGTAAATATAGAAAAGTCGTAAAGAACAGTTCATTTTAACATTAAATGAAAACTCTTGAATGAAAATAAAAGAACTGTACCAAAACCTGAGGTGTGAACTCTTATGTGTCAAAAGGGTATGCTATTCCTTTTCTATTGGTGGTACCAATCGTTTTGCACATGGCATGTACATATCAGGTGATACACTTGATACATATAGATGTGCCGTATTGGCCAATCAAGTCAAAAGGGTGTCCATAAATTTCGAACGATGACCACGACTTTTATCTTAAAGAACCCTTGTACACTCTTCATAGAAAAATCCTGATAGGGAATTGTTTGTTTGTAAATTTCATACCAACAGAGAGATATAATCACTATTAGACAGCTTCCACCTGCGTGTTGCTTCATACGAAAAAGAAATTTAAGATTTGGCAAATAGAAATCACCTTTTTTTAATTAAAAGTTAAAAGTTGTCAACGAAATGTAACAGACGAAACATAACCAAAGAAATATATGGAACAATTTAGCTGTTTTTTTCTACTCTTAATTGCAAGTTCGATGGAATGGATGCAATTAACAAAATATCTAATTTTTGAATTATTCTTTAAAAGTACAATGTCTGAAAAGACAGATATGACACCACACATTTTATTGCATGTTATATTAATATTTATATATAGTTCGAGCGTCACTGATATGAGTCTTTTGTAGACGAAACGAGCATCTAACGTAAACAATTTTAATCCTGATATCTATGATGAGCTTTTTTCCCCAGTTGGATACTTTTAAGATAACGATCGTTAACGTTTTATGATAAATGACAAATGTTCTAGTTTTTTGAAAGTTCAACAGAAATCATTGTACCATTACTTGCCTCTTTGCTCTCAAAAATATTGAAATTGTTTTACTAGATTGACAGAAGTATCTTTAATTGATCATGTTGATTCTTCTTTAGAGCTTCTTGAAATAAAGCTGTATACAACATCAATATCAATTATCACATATAAAAGAAATTAATAAAACCTTACAATAAAATCAAGTTACTTTAAAGTGCAAGTACTCGTGCCGAATTATGATTAGACAACAGACAAACAATGACATTGTAATAAATAAAATGCTTGAAGTCATCTATATCTCAGATGATGATGATGTCGGATGGCTGTTTAACGTCCAGTGGCAAATTAAGTAAATTTTCAATATCGTATTAGTAACTTGTTAAAGTGATATCGATGAATATTAACCCTGCCTTGTACTACACTGGATCTCTAACTTGCTAGTTCACAAGACGTGTCACCCTACCGGAACTGAATCTTGGATTACAAGTCTTAAATGCCGCGTGCTTATAAGAAGAGGCGTTTATCAATTTTCAATTCTTTGGTTTGCTCCTGTCGATCATCGATTCCACGACCTCCTTCACTAGACCACCGAGGGGTTGCTTTATGTAAGATGTTGCAATGTTAGTTCTAATACATTTATTCATATTTAAACCAGGAGATATGGTATGATTTCCAATAAGACAACTTTTCAATCAATAAAGACAAAGGACAAAGGTGTTTTAAATAGCAATTCTCTGTAACCACCAACCAAATTGCGGCACTCATAGTCTCAGATTTTCTTGAAATTTGGTTTGTTGGTAGCTATCGATAAACAAACAAGAATTATGTTGACAAAAAATTTGTTTATGCCCCCGTTGCCATGGTAACGGGTCCCCTTGGATTTTGCCTCAAAAATGCATATTTTGACGAACAAAAATTACCCATTTTAAGCAGTAATCATGCACACATTTCAAGTTTTATGAATATTCTGACTTTTGTTCATTAAAATATAACACTTTATGAGTAAGATGAAAGATAAAAATTATTACTGACAAAAAGGGAAGAAGGGGGCAGCACTGATTTAATTAGTGGAGTTTTCAATGTATTCAACAAGGCAAATTATAGGCATTTTGCATGACATAATTTTACACTTTTGCATCCACAACCAATTATATTAAGATAATAAATGTGAACTATCACTATTGCCTAGGAATAATTTATCACTAAAGTTTTGCGAAATTAGTTGCTAGGGTGGCTGCCATGGGAACATAAAAGTGTTATTTTTGGTATTTTGAAAAAGAATTTTGACATTGTTATTATAATAGCTTTAAAACAGTGACAAGTACAAATTAAAAATCACTTGGGACATGTTGTGCTTTCAATTACCTGAAAGTTGTCCTAAAGGTCAAAGCTTATTGATGACCTTGACTTTGACCTTCAGTCTTTTTTATTTAATTTTGTTAGGAAATTGTAACAAATAAACCCAAAAAGTATTAAGAAAAAGAGTTTAGACCAAATTTTGCTTTTATTTAGTAAGAAAGCAAAATGGTAGAGGTCAAGGTCATGTTTTAACTTCTTAGCAACGACCCTTACTTGATATAAAAGTACCTAGCAACCATACATAGTTGGGTTCAGATTAATACGAACTATGATAGAGATCCTAATTAAAAGTTAAAGGGTCAATATTGTCAACATAAACTTTACCAGCAATTCTCATATAATGAGAAAATGCATAGCAACCATCCTTGTATTGGTGCTTTAGGTAAAAATTCTGAAATTTTGAAACTAAAGTTGTAATTCATTCTTCCAATTAGACTCTCAAATTTCTTTTAATAACAGTAATTGTGTTTCTTAAATAATTCACATACATGAGTTTACTCATGTACATTTCAGTTAATCGCAAGCTACTTTGTCTCCTGTTCTTACCTGAATTACAAGTGCTGTTTTTTCCAAAGTATTTCAATTTCACGAAAAAATACCAGTTGAATCATAATATCGTTTCCCAGGGGCCTCCTGTTTTACTTTTATGTTTTTAATCTTTTAAACTGCAATACATGGATGGAAAGTATTATAACAAATCATTATTTCTATTGAAACTTATATGGATAAATGAACAATTTAATAGCAAAAAGACTAATCATTAAATCAACATATTCGAAATTTTCATTTTACTCCATATAGGCGTTTTGCCCTTAAATGAATATTAAGGGAGACAAATTCAAATAACAGCAATTTTTCTTGTTTCCTTATCCCAATTATGTAAGTCTTGTTTATTTACTCTTGAAGCTATACATAGCTTATTCTATATTGATATATTTATGTTAATACTAAATGACGATTGTTACCCCAAATCGTCTTTAAAAGGTATTTACTCTAATTAGGGGTTGTCAAACGAATTAAACCATGTTACATTATTTGTAATCGTGTCTTGCTTATAATTTTTGAATTTTAAAGTTTCCTTCTGCTATAATATGGTATTTTTAATATTAGGCAAAAACGCACACAAAAAAAAACTCTTTAAAGGGCAATAACTCCAATAAGAATCAGCTGAAGATTTAAACATTGCAGATCTGGTGCTGCTGATAATCTATTAAATTAAATGTTTCTTTTTCTCTCTTATTGTTTTCAATATGATAGGCATAAAAGACAAAACATAAGAGGGGAATATGCCCGTGGAACACAGATGATGCCCCCGCTTGCATATCATATTTATGATGTTATAAAGGGACATAACAAAAGAATTGTAAAAGTGACGCTAGCCAAATGTGTACTTGATCTGAGTTTTGTGGTAAAAGACATTGTGTATAAGTCTCATAACATTTGGTTGAGGCAAACTTATGTTAGAGAACAGAAACGAAAAATTCAGCAATTTTTCCATTTGTAAACAAAAATACCTCTACTGTAGAACTGTAAAAGTGACACCCCAAATTTCAAACTTGATTTGTATTTTGTGGTAATATTATAAGTATTGTGTATAAGTTTGATAACATTTGGTTGAAGCAAACTAAAGTAAGAGAATGAAACGAAAAAAATAGCAATTTTTATGTTTCTAAAGGGACATAACTCAAGAATGGTAAAAGAGAAGCCAGTGAATTTCAAACATGATCTGTATTATGTGGTAATAAGCATGGTGTATTAGTTTCATAACATTTGATTGAGGCAAACTAAAGTGAGAGAACGGAAACTAAAAAATCAGCAATTATTATGTTTATAAAGGCATATAACTCCAAAACGGTAAAAGTGACGCCACCCAATTTCGAAATTGATCTGTATTACATGGCAATAAGCATTGTATACAAGTTTAACAACATTTGGCTGAGGCAAACTAAAATTAGAGAACGATAATGAAAAATTCAGCAATTTTTAAATTTGTAAAGGAACATAACTCCAAAACTGTAAAGTTGATCTCAGCCAATTTCGAACTTGATCTGTGTTTTGAGGTAATACGCATTGTGTATAAGTTTCATATCATTTGGTTGAGGCAAACTAAAGTTAGAGAACGGAAACGAAAAATTCAGCAATTATTATGTTTATAAAGGAATATTAATTTACTCCAAAAACGGTAAAAGTGACGCCACCTAATTTCGAATTTGATCTGTGTTATATATGTAGCAATAAGCATTGTATATGAGTTTCATATCATTTGGTTGAGGCAAACTAAAATGAGAGGACGGAAACGAAAAATTCTGAATTTTTTATGTTTATAAAGGGGCATAACTCATAAACTGTAAAAGTGATGCCATCCAATTTCGAACTTGATCTGTGTTATGTGGTAATAAGCATTGTGTAAAATTTTATAACATTTGGTTGAGGCAAACTAAAGTTAGAGAAGAACGGAAACCAATTTTGGGACGTACGGACGTACATACAGATGGACAAGGGTAAACCTTAATGCGGCGTCTGCTTCAGCGGGGCATAAAAAAAGGTTAAAATTCATCTTTTTTGCCAGAAATTCCCCTGTAAATAGATAATAGGTAGATCCCTTCACTCGGAATATTAAATATCCTGTCAGGTTTTTCTATTTATAACAATTTTCATGATGATAAACAATTTAAA